ACGGTACACGAAATATCGAAATATCAGGTCTGCTTCAAATTGGCTGCAAAGAAGCAGCAAGTTTGTTACAATATTGCTGCAAACTGCAATTTCATCTTGCGAAGTTGACGCCAATTTGCTGCAATATGGCTCCAAATGAGAAGTTTTTTTTTTTTTTTTTTGGCAAACTCCTGCAAACTTGTTGCTTCAAACTTTTCATTTTGCTAAGGGTACTCAATTATCTCCTAGTTACTCAAGGAAGCGTGCCAGAAAATGAAGCTGATTACATTGAAAGCACTTTAGCGAGAAGCCCAGTAAAGTAAGATCGATCCAGATAGTACGATTCACAAGCACATAATAGTAAATTGAGTAACTTTGCTCACATCATCTGCAATTGTTTATTATTATTATTATTATTATTATTATTATTATTATTATTAATTGTGTCAATGTTTCATCTCATTGAATAACGTGTGCTATATCTCACGTCAAATGGAAATATAGTTAACATTGCATCTGTAACTTTTGTTTCAGACAAGAGTCCAACTAGAATTAAAGGCAAAAACAAGCGTCCAGGATGCTTTGCTTAGTACAAGTCGGCCACCCATGCGAATCATGTGTGTTATCGATGCCAGTGGAAGCATGCTTGGAAACTACGGCAAGGAAAATATAAGCAAGCTAGAGAAAATGAAAACGTTCGCCCAAGTTCTGGTAGATTACATGGATGAAGTGGACTATCTAGGTGTCGTAGTTTTTGGCAACGAATCCCATCTGACGCTAGGGTTGACGCGAATGGCCAGTGAAGCCAAGGTAACATATATGTATCTGTATATAGGAATATTTCCTTAAATAATTTCATTCCTTAATATCGTGTCTGGATACAATTTGTAGTTATTAAACTTGAGTGATTTAAAATTTCCTCTTCCTTTTCTTTTGTGTCAAGGAGGGGGTTAAGGAAACTATAAGGAACATTCACGTGATGGGTTTAACTAACCTTAGCGCCGGTCTGTTTGAGGCATTGGAACAATACCGAAGACTGACTTTGAGATGGTAAAGCCAAGAGAAACATAGTATGACCAAAAACTACACTGTGCACTGTTTACTGGAATTAATCAACATTTAATTTTAAACATGATTATTATATTTGGCTAAAATTAAAGTTTAAACTACATCAGGCGTGTGTGTGTATGTGTGTTCCATTTTAACAAGTCAGACATCATGTTATTTAATAAAATAGAATAAAAACAGACAAATCACTATCTGAAAAAAAAACCTGTTTTATCTAAAATTTCAGCTTTGATGACAAAATCGTGCTATTCACGGACGGAGGCGCCAACTGCGGGATAACCACATCACAGCAACTGATCCCAGAGCTGAGAGATCGGTTCAGCGCCATGGGAAAGGAATCCGGTCTGGGGGAAGACTACACCATCCAGATTGCTGCCTTCAGCACAGGCGGATTCATGCCCACGCTGATGTACGACCTGGGACAAGCTTTCAGCAGTGAGACCTTCTATTTCATGGATGAAAACACCATACTGGAGCTCAACATGATGAAGACGGTCCTGCTTCAGCAGACTGCGGTGGCCAGACACGTTAAAGTCGTCGCTCAAGCATTGAATGGTGTAGTGTTTGACAGAACAGAGATGCCCCAGTTGGCAGCATCCCCGAGTCTTACCACACGTCAAGTCTCAGAACAGTTCATCCACACCATATCTGCAGAACTATCCAAGCACGTGTTGTATACCCTTCTCCTACCGGACGACCATTCAAAGACTTTGCCTAATAAAGACGTCCTCGAGATCAACGTTTCTTATCAAAGTGAATCCGGCCTCATCAAGGAGAAACTACAAGTACCGTATAAGGAACTTCCACACAGCGTGGAGCAGTCCAAAGAAGCGGCCCTCGTGACATTCACCCAGCAAGAAGCACGGCTTCAGGCAAAGGCGGCCATTCTACAAGCAGCGGAGTTTATTTCGTCCTTGCGGTATGCAGATTCAAAAGACGCGCTCGAAAAGGGATTGCAATCAATAGAAGACAAAAGAGAGATGATTGCACAGTACATCAGCAGAGCAGGGACACATAAAATCGACAAATACAACGAACCCATGCTTTGGTACATCCAACACAGTCTGTCTATGCTGAAGCAAGATGAAACCGTTCAATCGTCTGCCGATAAATGGGGTAATCTGGTGTCGTATGGGGCGTCTCTGGACAGAGAGGTCCCCACCACGTTAGATTTCATCTCCGAGGAGCATCAGCTTTTCCGACCGACTGGAATAGAAGAAAAGTTGGAAGACATTTCAGAACACATTGATGGTAAATATAATATTCTGCCTCTGTTGTTGGCAAAGATTCTGCTCGTCTGTCTGCTTATCTTTCTGTCTTCAGACTTGCTTTCTACCTTATGAGACAATGTCAGCTGATGTCTATTTGTACGGTCCAAATACGGTTTATATGCCTATGGTCCATATACTTATATTATTCAAATTCAGATATGAAATATGGAGAATATAAGGATATTTATAGAAAGTTGAAAAAGGCCATACGCGAGGACAAACCTGGTCGCAAAAGGAAAATGTTGAAAGAGGCCATCAATGAAGCAGAGGAGAACAACGTTCCAGATAATGGATTGATTAAGGCAGCTAAAGAGGAACTTGAATATTCTGAGTATCACAAAGGTAAGTTGCCGTTCCCACGCCCTGTTTTACCCACAGCAAATATAAAGACAAACAGACAGACAGACAGAAAAACTGACAATATAAGAGAGACAGACAAGAGACAGATGGATGAAAAGACCGACAGGCTAGCAAACAGGCACATTAAGAGTTATGACTATCATTCATATTGACGCCAACAGCATTAAAAAGCAACATTTTATTTCCTGCATCTATTGACAAATTTAAGCAACGATTTTGATCTCCGAGAATGAAAACTTAATTTGTATGTTTTCAGCGTTCCGGGATAGTATTAAAGCGAGAGATAAGATTCGTCTCAGGCAGCTACTTCAGGATGTTGTTGATTTACCTGAGCATATACAAAACCGACTTCGGCCGGACATTGAAGAAGCAGAAGCTCTCGCTGGTGAGAAAAAGAAGAAAAGACGCCATAAGATGCTGGATATGAATTTCCGCCTTATCACTGAGCTACACAAATACCAAAGACCACCTGTTGCCATCCATTACACTATGGCCGCTGCGTATGTGCTCCTTGGGGAAGACTTTGAGGACTTAAGGGTAGGGACAAATTGACAAAGAGCCATCCCACGTTATGAAGTTAAACTGTGGGCACCATTAGCTATTGCGTATTATTTGGTTTTTGTATTATTTGGACTTCTGGTTTGTTTTTTTGGCTACAGAAAAAATATTGATAGATTTAACTGTCACTTTTTATGTGTTGTTCAATTTCAGTTTATTCGTCAAGATCTTCCTAAAATATATTCTATACCGAATCCACACATCTAGACTTTATATTAAAAAAATAAAAATGTGCAAAAACGAATTTAACAAAAAATTGACCAGTCCCAGAGGTTGATCGAAGAATCCATTTCAATGTGTTAAGCAAAACAGAGATAGGTTAGTGAATCTTCTAGAAAGAACACCTTATGCCTTAGAGCAGTAAAGACGTTTTTATTGTTTATTAATTTTCAAAACATTGTCCAACATTTGGAGTATAAAGTTTAATGTTCAATAGACGCTTTTGCGACCTTTTTCCTTTTTTCAAGCAACTGTTAATAAGATATTGTTTATATTATCAGGATTGGGCGTTTGTCCAGGCGTTGCTAAGAAAGACGGGTCAAAATAGCACGCTGTTTAGGGCAAAGAAGCTCGACATCAACAAAGTATCAATAACACAAGCAGAATTCTGTGAGAAGGAAATACTGAATGTTTATGTTGGAACTATAGATGAAGTGAGAGACCAAAGTGCTGGAGCAGCGAGGTTCTTTTATTGGGTAGGTATTTTATTTTTGTGGGAAATCATTATTGGAGGTACAGATTAGGTTTCACATTTTAAAGAGACAGAAAGTACGATTTAAAACTTTTTACTTACATACGCCACTTCTTATTATAAAAAATAAACTTTTCATTTATCCACAGAAGAATTTTAAAAAAACCAACACTAACGCCCGTGTTAAGAAATATTTAAAACTTCCCCACAATACAGAGTTATGACGAATCACAGGAAGGAGGGTCAAAGGTTGGTTACCCTAGGAAAATAAGTAAAACGTGAATTTTCCGCGAGAATTTTTTCCACTGTGCACTGGATGGTATGTATTAAAACGACTACATGACAACGCACATCTTCTGTTTATCAAATTAATTTACCTGTACCCCATAAAATCTAGTCAATTATTAACCATGTACATCTAAAACAATCTTTGTGGCAAAATATGATTTATTCCAAAGAAAATGTATTGAAACTATCGGTATAATATTTTTTATTTGCAGGCAAGAGAAGTGATCCATGACGTCAAAGACTTAAAGCAAAAAGAGTGACTTAAGGCGACTGCAGAGAAGAAGATTGGAAGTTAAGATTGGATGTAGAATAATTTGAATGAAACTAAATCTGATAATCTTTTAATGAAGAATTTATTCTAAATTTTTTACACCAGTCTTATATCGGCCATTAAGTGCTCTTTTGTAATATATATTCATAAGTCTAACGAACATATGTCAAATCCAAAAGCTTCTGGATTATGTATAAAAGCTTATAGTAAAACCTTCCAAATCCCGAAATTTACTCATTTTAATTGCTCTCTTTGCTGAGCCAGTTGTAAGCTGTATTAACGTGTTTAATTACATCTGATGGTCTTTTGATTTGGAATCAATCAATTTGCCAAAGATAGCGTTAACATGAGGATGAGGTTTGGCATTTCAAAATATACTACGTTTCTGTCAACGAAGTGCGCAACTCTTCATCAGTATTCTATGTACAATGTGACAAACGCAATATAGTTACTACAAGGCACTGCATTAATAGCTGGTAGTAATCGGCTGAAGGAAAATAATTAAAAAGTGATGTCAACGGAATATTATCCACAATACCGCAAGCACCACGCAGGCAACCCCTGCATTGATGTTTAGCAGCATCCTGAGTTTCCTAGGCTCATTTAGTTCGTTCTGGCTGGGACCGGAGCCCACAGGTTCCTCGACTGAGTGGTCATTTTTGGGGACTCCACATATCAAATGTAGACAGCGCTGTCTTATACTTTGCTCACTGCTGTCGTCTTCCGTGCTGTCTTTGTTAGTGTCGCCACCTACTAGGATTACTGTATATTAAATCATGAAATGGTAAAATGACACGCGGATTGGAATGACGACTATTGACGGGGTGAAACTTTTTTAAATGTCGTCTTCCATTACAGTTAGGCTGCACGGAATACCAAACAACATATCATTATCATTTGTCATTAATGGGCTGAAATGCGTTTAAAATATGCATTACCACTTTGAAAAAAATTACATCAAAAATGCTCTTACGCATCGCCTCACCACCAGAACAACTATTATATTTCAGCGTCTTGTCGACAAATAAATCAAGATTAGTAAGTGATTGTCATCATGCAATAATAAAAAAGAATCATATTAACCTGAGATTTTTCCTCTTGTCTTGATTTCGGGTAAAGTTACGTCACCATTATCGTCAGCGTCCCTGGCTTCATAGGCAACGGTATCATACTGCTGGCGATCTGGTGACGGAACTTGTCTTTTAACTGGCGTTTCTTTTCTTGTCCACCACGTTAGGCCGGCAAGCTTTAAATATAAGATTTAGCCCGTAGTCAAGAATCGGTTGGTCACATATTTTGGATTTCAATTTGAAAGAAATATATTTTGCGTTTACCTTCCTTAAAAAATAAACAGGTTATTTTGATGTATATGTGCATATACTGATTTTTCAATGCATGTGAAAAAGGCAACGTGGCGTACTTTTGCATACATGTACTGTAATTGACTATCTATAAATATTAGCTAACACCATTCTAACAGCCTAAGTGGTGAATTGTCCTTTTTCCATCAAAGTGCTCAAATCAGATGTACATTAGCTCTTTCTCAATACTATAGATGTATAAAGTTTACCTCTTTTTGGTCGACAGGACGTGTCACCAGGCTCACAATCACTGTCACCCCGGTGGTAATAATGATCAGTATCATACCAAAGTACGTGTAGTGAACTTTGTATAAGATGGCGGGCCTTGTCTCCTCCTCCCCGCACTGTGGGGCAGGCAGACTGAAATCCATTGCCATCCGTATAATGCCACATATATGCCCAGATAGTATTCCACAAAAGGCACCCTACGAATATTAGTATGGCATTGGTGGATATAAGTGAACCACGGAATTTCTCTTTTGTTTGATTGGTAAGTGATGCACAGTACCGTGTTCAATCAATATATTAAATGCAATAGTAACAGTTACATGTAATTTTAAAACGCTTTTTTATGAAATTTCCAAATAACCTTTTTTAAATATATTGAGAACAAACCCTCTAAAATCTGATTCAAATTTCCATTTCCCTCAATGAAATTAGAATCTTAAATTACCTTTTCGGTCATCCTCTTCCAAAATATCGCTAAGAGAAACAGAGCGCTGATTGGTGTTCCCAGATATCCCTGCACTGCCTGTATGTAGTTGAAGAGGGTCCCTCCTTGAGAAGACTGGACAAGAGGTATCCACAATATACTAACACCGCACAGGACAACAATGAACACCCTGAGTAGAATTTAGAATAAAAAAAAACGTTTGGGCAATGGTGTCAAGAAATACGCTTATTCCAGAATAATTATCCAAATTTTTAGAAAAAAATAGATTTAAAATATTTCAGTGTACATCTGTTGGTTCTAATTGTATCTCCGACTCTACAGATCTTTTCTCACCTTCCGACTATCAAAAGTTCTCTCTCATGAGCCAAAGGTCGTAAACGCCTCCACAGGTCCATGGTAAAGAGGGCGCTCGCACTATTGAACACCGACGTCAAAGAACTCATTATGGCGGACAGCATTACAGCCAATAGAAGCCCTTTCATACCTTTGAAAAAAACATGAAATGATTTTTTTAAAGAAGTTTAATTTAGACATAACGAGAGGTAATATAGTAGTCTCACGCAAAAGTGGACCGAGCGAAAAATATAACCAAACAGAGGTACAAACGAACAGAAAAACAAACAAGCTTTATGTGTTTCCTATAATGACTGCAGTTTTCCAATTAGTTGTGTATGGGCGGCCAAAAGGGCAAAAAATCCTGTCGTCGATTCAGTTATGTTTCGTCGATTCACTGCCTTCCCATCGATTCAGTTTCAAGTTTAAACGATCCTGTCATAAATTCAACATCTACTTTCGTCAATTCAACTGTCAAACATTTCTCATCTACGGTGTATTAAAACCAATGCTGTCACTATTTTCGTTGATCGTGTAACTATTCTCGTCGATCGTCTAATCTCGTCGATCGTCCAACTAATCTCGTCGATCGTGTAACTATTCTCATCGATCGTCTTATCTCGTCGATCGTGTAACTATTCTCATCGATCGTCTCATCGATCGATCGCCAGAGGGCGCTGCGGTAGCACATTGGCCTATCACATGACTATCAAAATGGCAGACAACAAAATGATTGCTAGTGAAATAAGAACATTTTCTCAACAATTTCAATTTTAGTTGTTAATAATTAAAAGATATTCGGTTGTAGGGACATTATTTTCTAGTTGTGCTTAACTCTGACCATGGCTGGCCGAGTTAAAAATTACCGCGTGATTGACAGACAGAAGCACGTGTTGCTACCGCAGCGCCCTCTGGCGATCGATCGATGAGACGATCGATGAGAATAGTTACACGATCGACGAGATTAGACGATCGATGAGAATAGTTACACGATCGACGAAAACAGTTTGACGATCGACGAGATTAGTTACACGATTGACGAAAATAGTGACAGCATTGGTTTTAATACACCGTAGATGAGAAATGTTTGACAGTTGAATTGACGAAAGTAGATGTTGAATTTATGCCAGGATCGTTTAAACTTGAAACTGAATCGATGGGAAGGCAGTGAATCGACGAAACATAACTGAATCGACGACATGAATTTTTGCCCTTTTGGCCGCCCATAGTTGTTCACCATAAACACTTTGTATACCTAACTAAAGTAAACTGTTTACAGGCAATGGTCATACTTGTAGTTCTTTAGCAAAATTATTAAATCCCAGTACATATAATTATTAGCTTTACGGGAGTGCTCTAACTTACCGGTAGGCGGCAAGGTTAGCACCAGTTTTGGGTAGGCAATGTTGGAGCACCCAATTCGGTTTCCACAGTATCTCAGACATTCATCTGGATCTACGCATGCTACTTCGTCTGAAGCAAAAACAAATTAAAACGTGTATTGTTAACAGTCCCTGTGTTATATATATGAACCACATATACTGGTTTCAACAAACTGAAACAAATTTTAGACCAAACAGGATCACAGAAAGTTTTGTTCTCTCTTAACTGGCAGACCCAGAAAATTTCTACAGACCCGAAGTCATTTACATCGAAAAAGCAAGTCAGACTTTGTAAACTTACGTCGTATATACCCCAGTACGACAAAAAAGTCGACATACTAGCAAACCTCGTTTTGAATAGAAAGACTGAACAAGATACAAATTGGTTCTCATAATGGAAAATAATATGCTAGCATTCAGGTACACACGCCCGTTCATATGAAGCAGTAAACCTTTTCAAATAACTTCTTCCGATACTTGCAAGGAATTGGGTTTCTATACAGTCAGCATCGAGCAGTTTTGAAGCATCGTAAAGAATGAAGAAATCCTCACCAGGGAACAGTGCCCGGGACATCATGCCAGGTATTAAGATGAGGAAAAGAGGCAGTATTTTCAGGTACGAGGACAGTATGGCGCCGCCTTTAGCGTGGGTAATGTTCCTGGCAGCCAACACCCTCTGTACCATAACCTGTACAAATACATGCCGTATTGAGATAGATTATATTATCTTTATAAATCGTAATAAATTATAATCAAAACTACATTAACACGTAGCAACAACAGATAATGATAAAAAAGATAATATTCTCCCTATAAATCGAAATCGAAACTGTGTTCAGATGAGTGTGTAACGTTAGACAGGTCCATGACATAAACTTTTTACCTGATATAATCATACATTAATGTAGGGGAGGGGGTTACAAAATAATTTCACAGGATATTTAGAAAACTTTTCATTCACTTAAAGCGTATGTGTGTGTGTCGGATAGATGTTACTTTTGAGGTACGTACGTGAATTTAAAATGTACATCGAGTTATTTTCCTGCGCCAAGAAACATGCCACACGCGAAACGTTAAACGTACAAAAATTTCTGTTATTTATCAATTCAATTGCTAGACGCTGTGCTGTACTCACACCGTTTAATCCTTATGATAAAGATCTACTTCTAATAGATATATCAAAAGTAAGTATTGAATACAGATCCACTCATTCGCCAACGTACCTGATCTGCGCTAAAATACCACAACACCCCCAGTGAAGACTGTACTATTAATCCGGGCCAAGGATTATCGGATTGCACCGGATCACGGAATAAATGGAACGCGTCGTCCCTGGGTTGACCACAGCTGCTGTTTCCGTCTCGCACGGCAGGTGTGGCGTTCATGTAGAGGCCCACGAGCTCCTGGTACCCCCCTATGCGTTCAAAACCTGGAACAAACAATACAAGTGCATTTGCTATTGAAAGACCGGAGCCTGGATAGTGCTAATGAAGGCTTTAAGATTCCTAGACAATTTTTTTATGGTTTTACTTGAATTCATTTGCACTTTAAAAGTAGCGTTGGTAGTTTTTATTGTGTTTTCGTTTTAAAAAAGACCATTTCTGTCGGTTCAGGTTGATTTAATGTCGCTGCAAAAAAAAAAAAAAAGAAAGAAAATAGAATAATGATTAAAGTAAACTTGCTTATCAAAGGTTATTTATATGTAAACAAGGTATTGACATACAAGATAACCATTGTACTGACCTAGAACTGTAAGTGACACAGATCCAACCAGCATGATGACTGTCTGCAGAGTATCTGTGTATATCACTGCTGTTAGTCCCCCTAGTACAGTGTACGCACCTGTCACAGTCAGTAACACAGCAATAGACAGATACATGTTCCAACCGAGAGCAAGGCCGATGAACAGAGCACCGGCGTATATTGATACCTAAAACATACTGAAACGCCGTGATACCAATTGTAGACTGTGTTACAAAAATGATGTCGTCTATTATGTCAGTTCTTCAATAAAAATTATAAGCCACAAAAAATGTTTTGAAGGATTCTGGCTGGACACAAATTCTTATGACCATCTGGAACACCAAAAGGTTTATGCATACATAATTGTCGCCGGTCTGATACAATCACTTTACGCTAACCATTTAATAGACTCAATAAGTATAATTTTCTATATTTAAGGAAGGGACTAAAATTCACACTTACAGCAATTTTGGTGAAGATGTATAACACCAGCGCTAAAACACTGAGATATATACGGAGACGCTGGTTGCTGAATCTCTTCTCCATATACTCTGGCATTGTAAATACCTGTAAGACAGAGCACAGCGTCTCAACCTACTCAATATCACCCCGAGTTTCAGAGAAAGGACAAGAAAGAAGATGCGAAGAACTAGTGATTTAAATCTGTTTCCATGCGGTGCTGAATTTCTGGGTGTGCCTGTAATCTTCATGCTTACTAAATGAAGTCGGCCATAGCTATGTTTGTTTTATACCTTAATTATGGAATTGAAAACCCTGAAAGGGTCCAGGTTATGAGGAATAAAAATATGTGCACAATGCTAAACAATGCAAAAAAAAAAAATCATTAAAGTGGTTGATCTTCCATGTAGAATTGGCAAAGTTCTCTTTATTTTCAATATAAAGGGGGTTGTGTGAGACTGTGCTATTTCAAATGAAAATACTTGCCCCCGCTGCAACATATATTGGATAAAATATCCACGACAGTATGATGAGATTCGGGATCGCCTGTAAAATGAATAAAACATTTTCCTTTGATAATACACACACATATTGATGAGTGTTTTAGCGCGACAGAATCTACAATTTAGTTTTACTTGTCTGGGCTTCAAATTTAACAACAACTTTCAAAAATCAATTTAATATATTTTAATTGCGCAAAAATACATATCATTAGATGGATATTTATCTGTATAAAAGTACAGGGTGCCTATTTGCCCACACTAGGTCCTAGTTGGTCCACCCGACATCTGGTGCGTTTTTTTTTCTTTCTTTTTTGTCAGATTATGAGCCATATGACAATACATTTACAAATCACTTTGAAGTTGCACCTTTAGCTAAATTCTTGGCGCTTGTTCTAATACCGGTTTTGCTGCTCTTACTTATTCTTAGTTAGGTCCACAACCAAGAGCGGCCTAACTCATTCTGAACGGCCTCTAAGATATTCTTACGTTAAGTTCATACATGCTGATAGCTATCCCAGACGCAGCGCCTGCGCCGGCCAGTCCAATGAAATGTTCACTGCCAATATTACTGGCAAACAGGCTGGCACCAACCTGGATAGAAAGAAACAATGTTTAATTACTACATATATTTCTAAGACATGGCTAAGACAAGAGGACCAAATTTAAAGCCTATTTATGTGAAAGTAGAAGAGAAAGAAATAGGAAAATGCCCACATTAAAAGCTGGGATCATACCTGTTATCTTATTCAGAGGTATTTAGATAAGATACTAGTACCTGTAATTACATAAGGAGCTCTACTTATACTCACCGGCCACCATACCATGTCTCTTCCTGCAAGAAAGTATCCCTTCACATTCCCCGTGGACGGCCTGCATATTGACTGAAACAAAAGGATTTGGTTAGCGATTTTTCCTGTCACTTGCGCATGTGCCTGTTAGTTAGTAAAAGCACGCATTGGTTTATCTCCGATTTCTCTACAGCTCACACAATGAATTGTGTCTCAATACAAATGCTCTCTCTCTCTCTCTCTCTCTCTCACACACACACACACACACACACACACACTTTCTCACCCATATCCCAACTGCTAACACGAAGACAAAGTATGCAACCACCGCCAAGATGTCACCCCAGTGTGTCAGTCCCATGCCCTCCATCCTGGATGATACCCACTGTACACAAGGGAGACCGGGGTAAGGTGGCCCAGTTACACATATTTGGATGTGTAGACCCAACCGAGAATAAGGGCCCTTTCCCAGTGAAACTATCGTTCGACGTAGATCTATCCAACTCCACGTGGTCTCTGGATAAATGCAATCATATATATTTACGTACTTGTATAAACGCACACTAACACACACACACACACACACACACACACGTGTTTTTGGAATTTTATCCCTGCCCAACCTCACCAACGCATCCACCTATGATCTTACTTTTCCGAAGACAATTTTATTTGATTACATATGGTCATGACAATATTTTCCATAAAATAAAAATAACAAGGTAAATTAAGAAGAATTAACAAAGGATCCTATGTAATCTTCATACACGCTGATTGCCTCAGTTTGTTTCAAAGGGGTGCTTGTAGCACATGGCTAACTTAGGTCAAAATTGTATCCAAACCTGACTGAACTACTTCAATTTGTATCTGGCTTTGATATGATGATATGGGTTTATCATTTTAACTGTCGAGTCCAATGTTTACATTCTGTATACGCCGTACGGATCATACTGGTAGAGATAATCACCTGATCCTAACATCTCCTCGTTCTTCACTCACGTGTGGGGGATTTTTCAGTGCGTCTCAAGGGTACTGGCGTTTTAAGGTAAATTTTAAATCATTTATATTAATAACATGATTCTACTACAATAACAATATCTGAACCGGTCTATGGAAGCGCCTTCATTTAAACGTTACAGGAGATTATTAACGTACATAAGCACCTGTGTCAGTCACAGTTAACAGGACGCGATCGAAACCTTCCTTACCGGAACGCTAACTAAAAGTAATGTCAATGTTAAAACATTTCTTGTCCTTTAAAATCTGGGGCTCCGTCACCAAATTGCCTTATGGATATTCGGTAGGGGATGAGGGTCTAAGAGCGGTGGGAGGGGGCCGAAATGATGCGATCGATCTTTATGGCGGATGTGAGGTCGTACATTATCTTTACTTACCGGTACAACGGTAGATCGGCATGGGTCTTATTGAATACCAGATTTTTTTTATGGATATGTTAATACCACTCGCAACTCACACAGAAATACTGGTAGTCCATAAGTTTGTCAACTTTTAACTAAATTTAAAGTTGGACATTGCCTAAAAAAGACTTTTTGTGCCATGTACTGGTAGGCCATTTATGTAATTTAATATACCTGTACATTGTATGCAAAATAAAATAACTTTAGCGCAACTACAAGAGGTTTCCAAAACAACATAACTCATAATTTTTCTGAGTACCTTTATTGAGTAGGATACCAGTAGGACAAATATAATTAACAATCAAATATCAAAAATATTTCTTAAAAGTGACACGTTAACAAGTGAAAATACCTTACATCTTCGATCAGCATACAATCAAAACTGAGGTTGCGTATAGAAATGTCAGCAAATGCGTAGAAAAGGGGACTTCCAAAAGAGGTCAATCCCGACACAATACACATAAACACCAATCTAATTCAAAATAGTACCTTTTAAGTTATCAATGCAATTATTATCCTCAAATTAAAGTCCATATGCGGTCCAGAGCCTATAGGCTCTGGCATAAGGAGTGCCTATAGGCATAAGGCTAAGGTGATGGTAGTTTTGTTTTAACACATTAAACGCTACATTCCATGTATATGGTAGACAATATCACCTCTACTAAGTAAGAAAATGTCACTTATAGCTTGTTCAGCATAACTTCAAGTAGTTCGCATGATTTGCCCAATTTAACTATTCTCAGTCCCCATATTAGAATTATACAAGTGCATAACTGAAAATAAGTCACGCTATACTTCTTTATAACAAATAAACTGTGTCAAATTAGATTCAATTTTGGGATGCATGATCAGAATGTTTTTCATTTACTCTGTTTGAATGAAATTTCTTAAAATTAAAATCACAAGAATTACTTGAAATAATTACATGGTACAGTAAGCTGCATAATACATGTATATGTGAACCAGGGAGCCAGTATACCCCAATCAATTTAGTCTACAATTTAGTCATGAAAAGGAAAAAGTTACTGCTGATTACTGAATTAATGAGAACTGGTCTCCTGTGATTTGTATAATTTAAGATACTAAATATGTACTAGTAAGTATTTAACATCATATGCTTCTAGTCATCAAATTTACATGCACATATACCCCTATACTGTAGTAATCAATGCATTATTGAAAGAACTTCTGAATCATTAAAATGATATTATTGCCATGGATCCCTCCATAAATATATGTTTAAAAACAAGTCTACTTCTTTTTCTTCCCTTTCTTTTTTCCTTTCTTCTTTCCTTTCCCTCCTTTCTTCCCTTTTTTGCCTTTTTTGCCGTCCTTCTTTTTCTTCACCTTCTCAGCTGGTATTGAGAAGTCTGGAATAATAGGTACTTCGCTGTATTCTTCAATCTCTGGCATGACTCCACCGATGGCATCTTGAAGGATCTCCATTGTTTCTGTGTCATATTTAGCAAAGGCCATCGGTGAAAGACCATCTTTGTTCTTGGCATGTATGTTGACACCAGACAGAATCAAGAGCTTTACCACCTCAACTTTCCCACCTGAAAAAAAGTATTAGAACCACTTTGATGAAAACAAAGTACTTACAGTAGTGGATGAGAAAAGATTCAGGAAAACTTTCCTTTATCTGATCATATGGCAACACGTTATTTCCCTAGTTGTATGGACTTTAAAGCCATTTTAAAATTAATGCCAACTTTATCATTACCATTAACACTGTCAAATCTCTTCACTGATATCATATATTTTGTAAACTCAAGCTTTTAAGATACCAGAAATGAGACACTCTTTTTAGTACATGTACACGTACATGTAGTTCTAGTAACATTGGCCCACATAATGGCCCACATAATGTCAAAACAAAGAGAAAAAACTCACTAGTACATGTATGTATTGGGGTATGTACCCCACTCCTGAAAATATATTTTGAACAATTTATAAACATTTTATACAAGAACCCATCAACTTTCCAAACTTTTCTTGTACACATAAAACAACAGGAAAAATTACTCAAAAGATGAAAAATACCCATTTAAGCTGATTTTCCAATTCACCTATACTGGGTATATGTACACTTTCTTACCTGCCGCAGCCAAATGCAGCGGTGTGACTTGGGCACCATCTATAATATTGACATCAGCTCCAGCTTCTATCAGCAATTTGGCAACTTCAAAGTGACCACCTTCAAATAAATAAAAAACAAAACATTAAACAAATTATAATGATAAAAATGCAATGCTCTCAGACTTTACTTTGCTCCATATTTATTAAATGCAACGAGCCCCATCAATCGAAATTGCAGTAATAATAATAATAATAATAATAATAAAGATTATTATTATTATTATTATTATTATTATTATAAAGCTCTGATAAAGCATTATCTTGGTACACCTAATAAAATCCAAGGGGACGTCAAATCTGGTTCCTTTTAATTTGCATTAAATACAGTACAATATTTGTCTTCTTCTAGTGCTGCATCTTATTTATGTATATCAGGTCTCCCTTTGGGTCATTTCAGTATACTGCCCACGTCAAGTATAGAGTGGAAATACTGAAGGCTTCAGGTTGAGCGAAAACACTTTCATGTCCGGGGGGGGGGGGGGGTACGCACGCGTACACTTTTCTCCTACCTTTGGCCGCGTGAGACAGAGCACTGCATCCGACTTCGTCGCGTGTGTTTACATTGGGGAAATTCCTAAGGAGCTTTCTTGTGGTTCCTATATCCCCTTTCTTTGCAGCCTCCAGAAGTCTGAACTCCATGAGACAGTAAAGCCCCAAGGACGGAAACCCGCGTATATTTGTCTCACGTCATTCTAAACTTTCATGTTGCCAAGATGGTGTTTGGGCTGGTTGCATCTAAATTATGGCCCTTGGAATGAAAAATGTGTAAAAAAATAATATTTAAACTAAATATTATCATATTTCATATTTTTATAGATTTCAAACATTTAAAAAATCAATTATGTTTTAAACAAAAGTTGAAAACAGCATTTTGGGTTTATCCTACTGAACAAATGCAAACTTGGGAATGCCTAGTTTCATACACATCCTTGTAAGTTTCTACCTCCTAATGCAGAAGAAGGAGTGATGACCTCGCCGATTACAAAAGTAAGCACAGATATTTCTGTGGAACGTTGATGCAGCACCTTTTAAGAACATGGACAGTGGCAAAATCGATCTTACCTCTTATTCCGCACAAACCAAAAAAGAGTGAGTAAAATGAGAGGTAGTATCTGAACCGCCCCTCAGCAATTGGGAAAATATTGTAGCACCTGTTTGGCAAGAGGCCACCCTTTTGGGTTACTCACACAATATTGGCCCTACTTGATTGCTATCTCCACCTGGCTAGTTAGAAAGCCAGTTAAGTTTGGACTGAATGTGTGAGGGGAGGCAACTGCTTTGTCACTTAAGTGGAAGTCAATTTAATTTAGACTTACCCACTTTGATCTTAAAAACTGAGTCAGTACATGTACCTTTTAAAACTGTTTGCTTAATCTTTAAGACCACGTCAGTTCAGTTCTGATCTGAAATTGCAGCTTAAAACCATTTCAGACTCACTAGTGACTGTGATTCATGTGAAGAAGTTTTTGTCATAGATAAAACTAAATGTTATTTCATTCTTCAGTTTTTAGGTTCAGCTCTAGGAGCAGTTACAGTAGCATGTCTGGGAGTGGAAAGAAGCGTCTGTTTGTGATCGACACAGATGCTGGCCTCGATGATGCCCAGGCCATCATGATGGCTCTAGCTCAGCCAGACATCAACATTATCGGTGAGCAAGTCCTACAATAGCAGGCCTACTAGTATAGCCAGGAATTTAAAAAGAGGGATTCATTTTCTAAAAACAAGTGGACCTTTTTATCCTATTTGTCCCTTTTGTCAGCCAACTTGGGGAAATGATACAGAAGGTACTACACGTAGTAAAACAAAATTCAATCCAGAGTGGACCTTGAGTGACCCAAAGGGCAGTTATTTCTAACACACTGAATTCCCCTTGCCTAGATGTACCTCTGTAAGGAATCATTTTATAATTTTTACAATAAGTAAGCTGTTGATTGTGACATGTTTTAAACTTTTTCCGAAAGAAAAAGCCACAATATTTGAATCTTCAGAGTTTATAATGTAATATAATGTTGTTTTTTTTCCCTCGAATTCCAGGCATAACTACAGTGAACGGCAACACCACAGTCAACAATGTGTCCAAGAATGTGCTGAGACTGCTAAAGACCTGCAGAAGACTGGATGTAAGAGAACTGGCGAGGGCATGTTACACCTCTAAATGTGGTTGATTTTACATTTTATATAGAAGGAAGTGTTGGCATAACTTTAAATTTCACCATAAGTTATCAATGAATGCATAAGTGCTAAAAAAATGTGATGAATTAGTATTATTTTGAAAAATTATACCATAACTATAATACATACACTTTTCATGAAATTAGAGGAATTAACACAATATTAAAATATGACATATCATGTAAAGTAAAAATTAAAAACCGAAGCATATTCATTAAATTTTTCATTCATCATTAATTCAGGTTGATTTATGTTGGTAGGTTTTAACTTCTTTTCAGGCAATTATTGAGGCCTAAGTTTATTCCAGATCCCTGTGTATCAGGGCTGTGATGGCCCTCTCATCTCTGGGTTTATTCCAGATCCCTGTGTATCAGGGCTGTGATGGCCCTCTCATCTCTAGGTTTATTCCAGATCCCTGTGTATCAGGACTGTGATGGCCCTCTCATCTCTGGGTTTATTCCAGATCCCTGTGTATCAGGGCTGTGATGGCCCTCTCATGCCTCATCTAGACCCTGTGGATGCTGGTCATTATCATGGGGTGGACGGTTTCGGGGACGTCCCTGATCCAGACCCTGTGGACCCTAAGATGATAAAACCTGAACACAGCGCTCTGGCCTTGGTGAGACTAGCCAATGAACATCCAGGTGAGTCGTGCAGAAATATGTGCATGTGAGGGTGTGTGCGTGTGACTTGAGAAGGGCATGTAGTTCTGTCTTAACCTTGATTGTGTGAAGTCTTAAGATGGCTGTTAAAATTATTTCCTTTTTTTTTTTTTTTTTTTTTTTTTTTTTTTTTTTTTTTTTTTTTTTTTTTTTTTTTTTTTTTTTGATGTTTCATTTTTTTTTCATGTTCTGTGACAGTTCTTAATTGTGTTTCTTCATCAATGTATAAAAATATAGAGTGTGTATGAATAATTAGCCTTTTATTTTTACGTGTCTTCACTTATGAATGGCAGTACGGCTCTCATTTACATTAAAAAAGCCATTGAAAAGTACTAAAATTTTATAAGAGCCTCAAGTTCTTTATGTTAATGTGTTACCCTTGGCTAGTAAAAATTTTGTTTGGAGTATTGAAAGACATTTTGGTATATTACAATCTTATATATATTTTTATTCTTTATAAGGTGAGATCAACCTGGTGGCGATTGGACCCCTAACTAATATAGCTTTAGCCTTAAGACTGGACTCTGGCTTTGGCAGCAAATTAAAACATTGCTTTATTATGGGTGGAAATACAGAAGGTAAATGTTAGAAAAAATGGTTAAACCTGTATATGTGGATCACTTGCTTGTTTAATATAATACATTACAGGGACAAAGCATTTTTATGCTTTTTATGCACATGAATGTGTGTACACACATGCTCGCATGCACACACGCATACACCAATCTGTATTTTCTTCTCATAGGAGTTTAAATGTTGACTTTGTTTTGACTTTGAATCAAATGCATTCTTTTTTNAAACATTATGTAATGTTGCATCAAAATTTGAAGAAACCCCTATTTTGGGCACTGCTCCTATGATGACCATTTAAGGGAAATCATGTCACTTACTGTTCTCAAAAATTTAATTTTTCACTTATTTGCATCTTTATTTTCTGTTCTTTGTCTGTACATTTGACAGCTTTGCTGCCTTGTTTCATATTAATTTGATCAGCATTGACAACTACATACATGTACAAGTACAAATAAACATGAATTGTGAAAAAAATATTAATTTTGTTTCACTAAATGGGAGTCAAAGGCGTACAGTGCCATTTTGATCATTCATTTTGTTTTTTTTTTCTTCATCTATTTTTATACCTGCAACATACATTTGCCATTATAATATTGCTCTTTGAATAAGTTTTTCTTTTATGTGCCATGATAATGTTGCCCTTTGAAGAAGTTTTTCTTTCATTATAATGTTGCTATTTGAAAACGTTTTTTTTTTCTCCTGCCATTTCTTCTATTTTCAGGCAAAGGTAATATCAAGATCTGTGCCGAGTTTAATTTCTGTGCTGACCCAGAGGCTGCGTCCATCGTTCTCAATCTTTTGGGCTGTCCCGTCACTGTGGCTGGCTGGGAGCTTTGTCTCAAATGTGGCTTCACCTGGGTAAATATCATGGCGGAAAACGCCTCTGGCGCATTCACAACAAGTTGATCCCTGGACTAACAGATCTGCAGATTAAACATGGCCGACCCACACGAAAGCTTGCCGCATAATCCCCTAATAGATGCTGAATAGATTCACCGTGGGGTTTACGTGGTAGGCGATGGATCAGTTAGTCCACAGATAAACTTTTGTTGTGATAGAGGCCTTTGATGAACCAGGATAATATTTGTATTGTATATAGATAAAATTTTGCCCCAGACATTTTTGCCAAATCAAGTAGCAGCCCGTCATATTTTTTGTTAATATTATATGACTCACTTCATCTTTTGATTCACAAATTTTAAATTTAATTTAGGTCAAAGGTCAAATGAGATTCCATCTTAAGATTAAAGCCTATGGAACTTTTTTTTTATGTATGACAATGGCTAGCAGTATCTACTCAGTAGCATGGGCACAACGTGTCCAATAAGATTGATTGATCGAGTCAGCGGACTTAAAGTGACGATCTTTTCTTCCAGGAGTGGTACAAGAGGCTGATAAGCAAGGGCACAGCTAAGAGTGAACTCATGCGTGTTCTTGAGGCCAACACCATCGTCAAGTTTTACAAGGAGGGCAGCTCGGAGTTCTACATCACAGCAGATCAGATTATAATGTCCGTTGCCATAGATCCCAAGACTGTGAAAGCACACGAGGAAGTGTACGCCACTGTGGCTTTAAATGACCCTCTGACCAGGGGCATGATGGTCATTGACTGGTCAGAGCATTTGCAGAAGAAGCCCAATGTTAAGGTGGTCACAGAAGTGGACCATGATCTGTATGGGAAATATCTTCAAGATGCTCTGAACTGAAATAGAAACCATTCCCAGACCCTATAGTGCTAAATTTGGATAGACCCATCTCTAAGTGGATTCTTGCTTAATTGCAATTAACTTAATCGACTTTGATATCTGTCACACCTACTAAAGCTGATAGGGGTAATAAACTATTGTTTAGCAGCTTAAGTAGGCGTCCCAGACATCTAAGCCACTTAAGCTGAAAGCAATTTAGCGAGAAACCCCGTGGAGATGGACCGATCCTGTTAGATCAATTTAGGGATTGGAACTCAGTCCTAGTCTCAACTGAACTGGTCTAGTTGTACTGTTATGACAGGCCCAAAGCTAGAGGGGGTTCTAGGGGGTTCAAACGAACCTCCCTTCTTACCAGAAAATGTCCTCTCTGGGTAAAATCTGATCTAGGTACACAGGGTTTTATGGTAGAAGCAGGCCCGTAGCCAGGGGGAGGTTTGGGGGATTCAAAAGAACCGCCCCTTTTGCTGGGAAAGGTCCACTTTGGGTAAAATTTGTTCCAGGTACATGAAGTTTTTATGGGAAAAGGTCCACTTTTTCAGAAAAAGAACCCCCCTTTTGAAATTGCTGGCTACGGGCCTGTAGAAGGTACCTTTTCAGAAGCCCCCCCACCCCCACCCCCCACCCCACCCCACCCCCTTGGAAATTGCCGGCTTGGGGCCTGTGCCCAAAATTCTACCTCTGCTTTCAGCTGCCTAAATCTGTCAGAGAAGCACAGGGTGAAAAAAAAAACACTAGTCAAATAGAGATTTAATATTTTCAGGGCTATTTACAATCATAAAAAGACTACTGTGAACATACTAGTACTTATATTGAATTTCCTAATATCCTGTTTGTTAGATGATAATTATATTGTAAAATTTTAAGGAGCACAATGTAGGACGAGTTTACACATTACATTACAGTATTAAAGTGATCGACAGCATTCAGAAAATGTCTTTTACATAATTATGAGCACAAACTGATATTTTATTTTATGTAATAAGTTTTGTCTTGTTTTGTTTTGTAATTTATACAAGGCCAGTTCGTTTTCGGGGAACTCTAACATTAAAGGGATGACAACTCTTCATTTTGGTGGGAAAAGGCCATAGAACAGAATTACTGGGGTACATGACAATTTTCCTACCTTTCCAATAATTTTTCCAACCTTTCCAACGAGTATACGTAGTGAATCCATTCCGACATTCCGTGTTTTTTGTTAGTGTGGTTTTTGGCAATAATGTTTTAAGAGTTTATAATAGGGGTAGCTGTCAATGAAGGTCGAGCACAGATACATGTACCAAAATAATTGCTATAAGTGCCTTTTTGGTGGTAAAATGGAATTTATTATATTTCTACCATTTGATTACAATACATTTATTGTGAAATTTTGAATCTCACATGAAGAGTTGTTATCCCTTTACCACTTTCTTTAATCAGTGGAAAACAAGGAAATTTTACCTCGGCATTCGTTTTATATGCACAATAAACGAATATTTATTGGAAAGGCTTACATAGTTTTGCTAAAACATTGAAAGTAATTCATTTCTGAAAAAGGAGGCCATATGTAGATATATATTTTCTAAATCGTCCAATTGTGACGAGAATTTGAAACATTTTTGTGACAATGAATATCAGTTTATGAGCAAGGAAAAGCAAGTAGTCGTCTTTTAATTTTGATCCTCAGTAAAAATTGTACGCGTCCAGGTGAAACATGCTGCGATATAGATAATGCAAGTGGTTGAATTAAGAGCGCTTGATAAATAACAATTGTTACAAATGCTTTATGTTCCATTTTATAGAACAATAACAATTTTCATAAATGAAAATTATCAAACACAAGCCGAAATTTTTCATACCGTAAGCTTACGGGCGAAGTCCTTCATCAGACTGATGTGAGTAGATGTTCACACTCACTGACTGCTAGGTGGTATAGCGGTCAGGGCCCTCTTATGTGATAGATACAATACGAGTCGTCGAGGTGTAGTGAAATATTACGCAGGCAAGACAATACACGAGTAATTTTCACGTACACGTCAGCGACGAGTGTTGTATCTGGCTCAAACCACGGCCTCTGATTGGCTACTACACTGCCCTTGCTATATTTTACGCATACATGTTAGGGGTCCTTGTGGTCACTTAGTCCTGCGTTGGACGACGGAAGACAAGGCTGAACACGTGTCTTCAGTACGCAGTCTCTTTTCAAAACTTTCGCGATAGAGGAATCTTCCAAGAGATTCGAAGACACTTTAGATGATTCTGCGTTCAATGCTAATATAGCTAATAGAATACCGGCACATACTCAAAGTAGCACCAAATGGGCATGCAACGTCTTCAGTGATTGACGCACCTGGCGCTATTTTAGAAGGGTCACCATGGAAGACAGAAAGTGGTCAATTCCTACCCTCTACCAGGGTGGCAGATTGTACACGGAAAAATGGAAAAAGCAAGACAGAGCCAATGACTGTTTATTTATCTAGAGACATGTCTGTGAGAAATCAATCTGTCGACCTTGTAGAGGGTAGGACGGAGACTTGGCATATGTGGACTACTGGCTGTCACGCTTTATTACAGAAATAAAACGTCAGGATGGCACCTCCTTTCCACCAGGTAGGGTTAATAAAGTCCATTTTAATCTAACGGCACTGTATAGTAAATTTCTAATAATTGTCTGATATGACCATGAATATGTTTTTGGGCTGCATAAAGATGCGCACACGCATTTTGCGTCATTTAGTAACCGTCCATAAAATATATATTCTATATACAAATTTTCAATTTTTGGGTAAATGCTATTTCATGATAAAAAGTTCGGGAAGCGACTTGTTTTCATTGTTGTCTTATCCGTGGTGGGCGCTAGGACCCGATATACAGATACTGGGCCCTTATTAGCTAGTGAGTGACGTGAGTGCAACAGACAGTGGAACGCACTCGTACATGACGTGCTTATCTGATAGATACAATACGAGTCGCCGAGCTGTACGTGAAATATTACGAGTGTATTGTCGAGCCGCAGGCGAGAATGTTAAAAAAATACCGTGCAGAGTAGAAATATGAACTTTCTCGTGTCTCTAAGCTAGAGGCAGGCATATGTCAGAGTAATTTTACTTGGTTTAAATCATTAAAATAAGTTCTTATAAACAGCCTAGGGTGGTTGCCTAGAATACAATGTGGCTCACGAAGGCGGTCAATACGGAGCTCTGCCAAGGCACAAGTAAGTTAACAATTCGTAATATTTTAAAGGTGGTTAGTGTTATCTTTTTAATGTGAAAGTTATACTTAATTAAATTGTTTGGTAAATTTCACGTGGCTTAATTTTATGCCCTGCAGCCGCGTTCATGTTTAAAACGATTTAAATTTAAGTGTTCAACATGGGTATTGCGCGAGTTGCCATTTTACATGACGCTTGAGACGCTATTTTCAAATTAACAAATGCCTGCCTATAAGCGATAAAACATGCAGTAATATACCTTCTAGATGTATGCCAAATTTATATTAATTATTTGAACAGCAATCTACTCCCGACCAGGACTAGAAAAACTGTCATTGCCTTCCAAAATTGGTCCCGTGATGTTTTTCATATATATATATATATATATATATATATATATATATATATATATATATATATATATATATATATGCATATGTCATATATCTTGAAAATTTACATATGACTATTCAGCATATGTGTATCCATAAAATCGTCGTCTACCTCTAAACAGTGGATTTTATTTGTTATGGAAGTGAATGAGAATCAATAAATACTGGAAATAACTAGAAAAGGGCGAAAGAGCATTGAACATACCAGAAGTCATAGATATTAAAATTCAAAGCGTCATATGATTTTATTTTGTTTTTGGTTTTAAGTGAAATATCGCACCACAAATTTAAGGAAAGTCATATTTCGTAAAAGTGTGTTCGTTTTTTTTTTTTTACTTATTTTTTTCATTTATTGTTGCCAAGTACAATAATTCAATTTAGACAGATTCGGTGCAAACTAGGTATGAAAGCTGAGCCAAGAAAAATGTTTTGTACATGCGTAGTCTAGGACCTCTTGCACACGTGACACTTTGAAATTCATAGGGTCATATTGTCTTATTTTGTTCTTGGTTTTAAGTGAAACACCACTCCACAAAGTTGAACAAAGCCACTTGATGTGAAAACGCGCTTTTTTGCCAGGTACAGTAACTACATTTCGACAGAAGTAGGTACGAACTAAAGCAACGAAAGTTGAATAAAATGTTTTGTATATGCTAAGGACTTATTGCACATGTGACTCTTTTCTGTTCTACAAATGTACACTGTATGTACAACAACAACAGCAACAACAACGACAATAATAATAATAACAGTATAATGTAGGCCTGTGTTTAATAATGTTCTGACACGTACATGACATGTTTGGCACATATGATTAATCAATGTCTCAAAAATGGCTCATTTCAAAAACGTTCGTGTGTTCAGAAACCATAAAATAATTCAGCACAACCCACACACTATATTTGTAATTAAAGTATTTATTGTATACCAAACCTCAAAATTGTGATGACCTCACCCTTCAAAACCAACTTTGTTAAAACAGTCCATATGATATTATAACCTCGATCTTGGATCTCCTTGGCAAGTGGATTTTTAAATTCATTTACAAGATAAGAATAGATAAGCTTAGATGAGTACATAGTAATTAATTCCCCACGATTGCAATAAATAATTGGAAAACTTCTCACTTTTAACTAATATAAAAGTTTTTGTCGCAATCTAGCAATGGCGGCTTTCTCTCTGCGTCGCGCCCGGAAGTAAACAATGTATATGGCAATGGTTCCATTGAGCACCGTCCCTATTATGCAGCTTAGGATGATTTGGTGTTTTATAGCCGCATCCAGCTTTGCCTTAAGGTCTGTAAATGAAACATTACAATTGGTATGGACAGAGATCAAATAGATAGTAAAACAGAACAGATTAGGAAAAGTTCAAATAATGATTTACTTTGTAAGTTTCTGATTAAAGTGAACCTGAGTTATATTTTCAATCATGTTTGGGAAATTTTAAACTTTTTACTTAATCCCAATACAAACTGAAAGTGTGCCTGTGAAAGCTTTCACCCCAACGCTAGGGAATTCATCAGCCACACTTAAGTTATGAGACAGTGTATAGTGAACAGTTTATAGTGAGAACTGATCACTATTAAACTGTCCCAGACGCGGAAAACTTTGTACCACCCCCACCCCCTCACCCCGATTCTTTTTAAGTGATGGTCCCCGGCCCTGGATGTAAATACCCCCCTTCATCCCTCGATTGAACCTCAGGGGGTAACGATCCAAGATCTCCACACTGCCCCAACTGATTGAATGATTGGGTGCCTCAGTGGAAGTGAGAAGATTAAAATTTTCTCAACACGGCTTAAGTTTGTTTCATTGTGAAAAGAGACAGAGAATGAGAGAGGTTGACAAGATGCCCCACAGCAAAACAAACCTGGGCTTATATCTTCTGCATCTGTTAATTTTCTTTGAGGCCAGTCAACTGGTATGTGTTGCATCCCAGCAGTAACAGCACCATTCGTGACCATTGAAGGGGTACCCGGTGGACTCGGCTGTCTTCCAGGACGCATTTGCACCATTGTCATGGTATCACCCTTCTGTCCTTTCTGTCCAATTGCACTCATCCCCTTCATTCCTTTAATCCCCTTCATTCCTTTTATGCCCATTTCTCCTGTGGCACCAAAATTCCCTACATTTCCCATCATTCCCTTCTGACCTTTTTGGCCCTTTATGTCACCAGGCGGTCCGACCATACCTTTCAAACCTGTAATATTGATATCCTTAATGTGTCAATACATTATTCACAATAAGTGAAATCCAGCTCATATAATACTAGTTCTCGGCGATTTCATAAAATGTGATTGTTATTAATTGTTCTTTCTAGAAATCCATTTTATGCCAGTTATTCTTAACCAGGTGTACTAATGGACATCCTGGGAAATGTTTAATTTTATCCCCAGGGTGCATTCATTAATTACCCACGCCTTCTTCCATACTTTAATAACTACAATATCTTCTGTATTTCCCTGCCATCAAGTCGGTTAACTAGGCATAAGGGGTGGTAGTTTGAGTGTGTAAACAATATTAATGTTGAATCTGGAGAATTTTTGCCTGGAAAAACATTTACTTCATGCTTCCCTCCCTTAATCAAATTTAGGCAGCTTTCAGGTATGATCGACTGAATAAACATACTGGGGATGAAGTTGAAGAGCAGTTGTTTTTATGACAATGGTAATATGTAAAACGTAATCGAAATGGTTCAGTTTGATTTATTTCCTTTGGTCTTACCTTTGGGTCCTTCAGTTCCTGGGGGTCCACCAGTGTTTATTCCTTGTGGACCTCCGGTTCCTGTGGGACCGCCTGTTCCTGGTGGCCCTCCTGCGCCTGGTGGACCTCCAGTTCCGGGTGGTCCTCCAGTTGCCGGTGGTCCTCCTGTCCCTGGTGGTCCTCCTGTCCCTGGTGGTCCTCCTGTCCCAGGTGGCCCACCTGTTGCCTGTGGGCCTCCTGTTCCCGGTGGGCCACTTGACCCTGGTGGCCCTCCTGTGCCCGGTGGTCCACTGCCTGCTGGTGGGCCACCTGTACCTGGTGGACCTCCTGTTCCTGATGGCCCTGCTGTTCCTGGTGGCCCTGCTGTTCCCGGTGGCCCCTCTGTTCCCGGCGGGCCGCCTGTTCCCGGTGGACCACTTGTCCCTGGTGGCCCCCCTGTGCCCGGTGGTCCACTTGTTGCTGGTGGGCCACCTGTACCTGTTGGCCCCTCTGTTCCTGATGTCCCGGCTGTTCCTGGTGGCCCTGCTGTTCCCAGTGGACCGTCTGTTCCCGGTGACCCCCCTGTTCCTGGTGGCCCGGCTGTTGCCGGTGGTCCTGCTGTTGCCGGTGGCCCTCCTGTTGCCGGCGGTCCTCCTGTACCTGGTGGTCCTCCTGTTGCTGGTGGTCCTCCTGTTCCGGGGGGTCCTCCTGTACCTGGTGGACCACTTGTTCCTGAAGGTCCTTCTGTACCTGGTGGTCCACTTGTTCCTGGAGGTCCTTCTGTACCTGGTGGTCCGCTTGTGCCTAAAGCCCCCCTTGTCCCTGGTGGTCCTCCTGTACCTGGTGGACCTGTTCCAGATGAACCCCCTGTACCTGGAGGCCCTTCTGTACCTTGTGGACCTCCTGTCCCTGGTGGTCCCCCTGTACCCGGTGGTCCACTAGTTTCTGTAAGATTGCTCGGAAACAACGCCGCTAAAAGACAGCAGATTTGTGCATTAAAGAGATGTACAACTGATAAAGTTATTTTACTTATATTGTTAAGGATATAATGGTATAATAACTGCATTTTTATCTTGTACAAATTTGATTTTATTTCAATTTAATTAACTAAATAGTAAAATTGCTTCCATCTCCCGAACTTTTTCCTGAAAGCTTTCTTACCTGATACGCCACGTATCAAAGTACACAGGATCACAAATTTAAGCCAGTATAGCTGCATCCTGCTTTCTGTCTGCTCTGTCTCTGTTAAATTATACGTTTATTAACATAGAGGTGTCTCTTTCAGCTGTAAGACAAAAGAAGACATACAAAACATACAAACATACAAAACAAAACACGTATCAAACTGAAAGCCAAAAAGTACTGGAAAAGGAATTTGACATGGTAACCTCTTACCCCAATTTAGCGCGCGTTTATCCGATTGTTTTTACACGTTTAAGTGTAGCTATTTTCATCAGCATATACCTTTATCTTTAAAACTTGTATGAAGCTCAGTTAAAATTGGATTTATTTGTAAAATAAATAATTGGAAAAATTGTTAAATTTGAATTAAAGAAAGATGAAGATATAAGACAAAGGTGTTAAAATGTCACTCCAAGCGCATTTTATTACATACTGGGTATATACAAATATATACACTTTGTCATTTACTTTACCGTTTTTCAGAGCCACTTCTGTGCGTCTCTTCTGTTTGGTGGTGTTGTATATTCCCTCTGTCTGAATAATGACGTCCGTAGTTTGACTGTTCCCCTTTATACATTTATGACACATGGTCGTATATTCAAATATTACCTTTTGACATATGTTGCTCATCCCTCATCACGTACATATGCCGTGGGCAGTATTGTGTATAGAGTACACGGAAATTTTGCCACACTTTACATGTCATCTTTATTGATATTTATTTTGATTTATTTTTTATTTATTATTTTTTTTTTTTTTTGTTATTTATTTTGATTGTGTATTTGTCTAAAGTTTTCAAATATGTGCATGTTTTTTTTTTTTTTTTTTTTTTTTTTTGCATTTGAAGAATGTGTCACAATCCTGGCTTGCCAGTCCCTTTTATTAACCCTGTATCGTGCAAGTGCGATTTTTATATACCTAGATGTGCCGTTAAACCCTTCTTAATCGCTGCAATAAAACCAGTGAACAACGGAAACTATTTACAAGTGTGGAATTAGCAAAAAATCCTGCTTAATTACGTTTTGGTTTGGACCAGTGATAAAGAGAGGTGCAACAAAGTAAGAAAGAAACAAAAAATTAATCCTCCATCATGCATATCGTTTAGTCTCTATTTAGGTGTGACGGTGGACCTGGTCCCATCACTTGTAGATCATGGACAACGTATTTGCACTCTAAACCTGAGGACAATGGACTGGTCGTTGGAACTCTATCATGTCTGTCTATTAGTCATCTGGTAACAATAAGATTGGCTAATTACATGGACTGTGACCCTGTAACTTTTTGCCAGATGGAAGTAATCATGTTTATTTGCATTGAAAAGCGTTTAACATACCAAAAATTAGAACTGAACGTTTTAAAACACTTTTATTCCTTTCTCTTTATTAAACCATTAGTGGCCTAAGTTTTACTTTTGAAACTCATTTATTGTATTTAATTTATTGTATTTAATTATCATTACTCCTTCCTCTTTTACACTAACTTTCAGATGCCTGTGCAAAAATTTATTTTATTCATTTATTTTAATTTATCCTTTTTTTATCTCATTAAGTTCTATTCGCATATCCTATATGATACCTGTATATCATTATTTTAATTTGTAAATTTTATTCTCACTCCATGTTATGTATAACTTCAGCCTTTTGGTTGCCATGTTTTAATAAACTTATTTACTATTTATTATTTACTATTTGTTTTCGCGCAATTGAAAGTACGAATATGAAGGATAGAGCACCGCTATGTTTCTCAGTCCGTCTAAACTGTCAGACTGGTGTGACGTGCTCTATAAAACGTGCTCAGACTGTCATTAACATTGTATTTTAGTTGGGAAGCAACACGTCTGAATGGCAACCATGTGTTCTGCTAGAAATAATGAGATTTTTATACCTCCGATGAAAGCAAAACCGAATTTTGCATGCATAGTATCTCTAAACTATGGAGTTCATCATATTGCACTCATATCTGTCGTGTGTGTATATAGACCTCATCTCTTTGCACAAAATCGACAAACACATTTTCAAAGCAACCGCGACCGCTATTTCTTTCTCTCTAACTTATTACTGCGCATGCGTCAAGTTGTCAGACTCTCCTTCGAGCGCAGCCGAGAATTAATTACAGCTTTGTAAGTAACTCGCTCGCTCTGCTAGTTAATTACGCCGAGGAGTATTTAGGGCACAGATCGTGGTCACTAGATACCACCAATGGATTTTTGGATTTTTAGAATTTAGATTTTTCATGTGAACGGTGCCTAAGTGTTGCTTAAAAAACTTCTAGTTAAATTTGGTATTAGTTATTTCATTCAATATGAAGTGTCCCGTAGTCAAAAATTAGACTAATTGTTGTTTGTTTGATTAACATGCACGAGCATCAGCACCATGCATTAGCACAATCAACAATTCATCCTGTTTCAAAAATAACATCTCATTGCAAATAGTATCTATAAAATATGAATGATAATGAATGAGGAATAAGGAAAGAATAAGCAAATAGCATTTTCAAAAAAGGAACAGTATATGGCAAAAAGATAATTATTATTTTTATAAAATATGTACAAAACAAGCCGATGTGTAGCCGCAATTAGTACATTAAGTCACATTTTATATATGATAATAGAGTGAATCCGTAAAAGAATAAATAATTTAAAGACTTAATAAATAATTTTAATTTTAATTAAAATTAAATAAAAAAAAATGATTGAAAGAATTAAATAAATGAATGATTTTATAATTAAACCAATAAATCGCTGTAAATAGATATATAAATTGCTGTAAATTAACAAAGGAATCACTTTTTCAAAAACCAGAGGCTCTTCCCTCTCTTTTTATAAACACCGGCATCACTTAAAAGACGGGATAAATGTATTTCACACATTCGTCTCCAGTGATTGCCTGTCAAAAACTCTGAATGCCGGTGTAACGTGACAGAGAGTCCCCCATAACAGAGAGTCCGCTTCCCATTCATTTGTACAGGAGAGCCTCGCCCTAGATTTTGACCCACTTAGGTCAAACTAACCCTAACCATATAACTATATGGAGGGAGGACCTTCTGTTACACGCACACTCAGTTTCGTTACACCTGCCACTAAATCGTCCTTGGCTTCAATTTCCTGAGGTGGTGCGTGAGAGCAACCCACGAATTATCTCGATTGGGTTGAGGTCCGGACTCTCCAGTGGCGTTTTAAACAAGTTAATACCATTGCCCTTAATAAATTGCTGTTCTACTCTGTTGGTATGCTTTGGGTCATTATCTTGCATAAATCTATGCTTATGAGCCATTTTATCCCTAAAGAATGGGACCGAAAGCAAAATCTCCTCAAACAATTCTGCGTCGAAAATACCACCGAAGATGGTAATGTGAGTGCACCCTCGTTCTTGCCCCGACCTAGTGCAATTTTATTAATATCCTCTATCATTATCACAACTAACGCGGTGAGTGTCTACCCTCTATCAGGGCTAAAGATAGGTTTTTCACTAGTTACCAGAATTGACATATGTATCTGGTTATTTTATGGGTATTTTTTGCACACCCGTTAGGCACACGTGCACATAAACTAACTACTATGAAGATGATAGTGAGTGTCCTATCATTTGAAAGCCAACAAAATGTTTCATTCCACATTAGAGGAATTAACCTTTCTCCCCTTTACCAAAAATAAATGAAACTCTACATGCAAGCAAGACCTCTTTCAAAACACAAAAAGAAAAGCTGTCGTTATTTCTCTACGGTCATAAATCCTTATCACCCACCCAAAATGAAATTATCTTCGAAACTGTTGCAAATTTTCTTCTCGTAAACTTTGTTATCACTTAATAGGTTCTATCTCTTTTCCTCTTCTTTCTTTCTGTACTTAACTTGTGCTCCTGATATATATGAAGTTTTACATTTACTCTGTTGTATATATGTATATACCTATCCATTTGTTTTATTTATTTACTTATTTAATTTAATTTTGTGGAGAGCATATAATGCTTCCAGCGCCTTGCCTCCACTTCATTCTTTTGAATAAACGTTGTT